TACAGAATATTTCATCTGCATATTTTCTAGAAACGAGATAGGAGATAGTAATAAATCAAACTTAGTTACGTTCGTGACATCACGTAAGTTTCTTCTGAACCTGTTCCTAATTATCCATTGTTATATACTGGAAACCAGTTCTATTATCTAAAGCGGCATATTCTTTAAAAAGGAATCTGTTAACAATATTTTTTTATAATTATTGCAAAAATACAAAAAATAAGCTATTGATGGAAATGGATGTGGGCGTCTTTGTTGTTCGTACCGCATCATGAGCATTATTAAAAAAGTGTTTTAGCGCACTAAACATGTTCAGTGTAAGGTATTATTTCTTTTTTCGTTTTAGCGCACTAAACATGTTCAGTGTAAGGTATTATTTTCTTTCTTCGTCATTAGAGCCCTATGGTATCCTCAGCGCAGTCCTGAGAGCACAAGTTCTGAAGATTTTTAACATAACTTTTTTTCAATTCGCCTTGATAAGAAATTAGTAAAAGTTCCAACTCCCTCAAGCAAAGTCGATATTAGATGGATTTGTTTTTTTTTTATTTCTACTTTGGTCATATAGCTCATAGGCGCTGCCAATACATATTTTTGACTTTCATATATTGAAGTTAAATCGTTCCTTACGAAGAAAGCATCATTAATCAATATGCAATTATATAAATCGTTATTTTCATTTCTTTTTTAATTTCTTGTTATTTAATTCATCCAGAGAAATCACAAGAAGGGTCGACGTTTCATACATCATTAATTGCACTACCAGTTGTTACCACGATTGTACTGTTTTTAACTATTGGAATTGGATTTTGTCTGTACATGAAACAGAAGGGTAAATAATATAATTTAGTTAAACATATATTGTTTTTCACATAATTTTAGTATATGGATAATTGTTCACCTTTTTTAAATTTACGAAACTGCTGATATTCGAAATGAACACATATAAAATAAGACCACCTGCTTTAAAACTATGGTTATTGTTTTGGACAAAAAATGCAGTAATGAATTTTATGTAAAATAGATATCCCCCAGAGATGAGCGTACATGATATAATAAAGCGGTAAGATATGCATGAAAGCAATACCTTATCTCTCTTTTGAAATTTGACAGCTATGAAATTGTGAAATGACTTCAATTATTATAATCTAAGTGCATACATGAATACCAATAAAAAAAGACTCAAAATACCAAGAAATAATACTTCCCCAAGCATGTTACGATCGAGTTTTGAACCCTTGAATCCCCATATAACATGTACAGGTATATCCTAGATACTATAAGTAAGCTTATAAAATGAGGAACAAAAGCTATATAGTGAATATAGTGCACAGATCCGGTTTAAGGGGTAATGGAGCGCCCGAATATACAAAACGGCCAAAATTAAGAAATAATACTTCCCCAAGCACCTTACGATCAAGTTTTGAACCCTTGAATCCCCTAATAACAGGCATATCCTAGATACCATAAGAAAGTTAATAAAATGAGGAACAAAAGCTATATAGTTAACATAGTACACAGATCCGTTTTAAGGGGTAATGGAGCGCCCGAATATAAAAAAAAACGGCCGAAATTAAGATATAATACTTCCCCAAGCACGTTACGATCGAGTTTTGATCCCTTGAATCCCCTAATAACAGTATATCCTAGATACTATAAGAAAGCTCATAAAATGAGGAACAAAAGCTATATAGTGAATATAGTGCACAGATCCGGTTTAAGGGGAAATGGAGCGCCCGAATATACAAAACGGCCGAAATTAAGAAATAATACTTCCCCAAGCACGTTACGATCGAGTTTTGAACCCTTGAATCCCCTAATTACAGGTATATCCTAGATACCATAAGAAAGCTTATAAAATGAGAAACAAAAGTTATATAGTGAATTAAGTGCACAGATCCGGATTAAGGGTAACGGAGCGACCGAATATAAAAAAAATAACAGCCGAAATTAAGAAATAATACTTCCCCAAGCACGTTACGATCGAGTTTTGAACCCTTGAATCCCCTAATAACAGGTATATCCTAGATACCATAAGAAAGCTTATAAAATGAGAAACAAAAGCTATATAGTGAATATAGTGCACAGATCCGGTTTAAGGGGAAATGGAGCGCCCGAATATAAAAAACGGCGAAATTAAGAAATAATACTTCCCCAAGCACGTTACAATCGAGTTTTGAACCCTTGAATCCCCTCATAACAGGTATATCCTAGATACCATAAGAAAGCTTATAAAATGAGGAACAAAAGCTATACCCAGAGGGAAACCAACAAACATTATTATAAAAAAACAATCCATAATAAACAAACAACAACACACAAACACAAACAACACCTAGCGATGATAACAAAACACAACTATGTGAACCAAAGATTTGTTAACCCAAACCCAAATCAAAACTGGGGGAAATTAAGGTTTTCCGGAGGGTTATGCACTTCAACTAAAGTCACCCATTATGATATTCATCGCAAGAAAATATACAGTGATATAATAATCGACGACAGCCTGACGGGATTGTGGTTATGCATAGTGGAACATGTTATTGTCACTGGAATACACTCTGAAATATAAAATACATATGCAAGAGCTGATGAGGAAATTTTGCTACAAAACAAATTGAAACTTTATAATATCAAAACTGCCATCATCTCGTTAACAAAGTTCACAATTTTTCTTTTGTCGTAAAGTCGAGTTTTCAACCGACCCACTTTTCAATTTTAGATGTGTATCAAGATATGAAACATACCGTGTATCTGGGATTTCCTTTATTTAAAGATCATTTAGACAAAATGCAAAAAAGAATGAAGGAAAATAGTCGTCAAACTTTGAATTATTCGACGTATTTAAAGCGACAAATGAAGTACAATGTAAATAGGAGTTTCATTACATTTTCTCGAGAGGCTTTTTTTTTAAATAAAGGCTGCATTTGAAAATAAGGAAATAAGTTAGCAATATCTATCTGACGTGCACATTTGATTTCAATAATAATGGCGATTGTCAGTCGAAATACAGTTCTTCTTATTGTTGGTTATATGGTGTCAATTGAACAATAAAAAAAAGAGATGATCTCCTGTTTTTTGTTTGGTTCATGTTGCTCCTTACTGTCTTTTCTGTGAAGTGTTTTGTAAATTCTGTGACTTCGTTTTTATTTTTGACCATGTTATTGTCTATTTCGTTTTTTGTTCTGCCTCTTTTTTTCGACAAGAACTAGTAACCATAAACGTTGTAAACCGATCATTTGTCCCCAATAAACATTTTAGTTCAAGTTCTTACTTGAATTGTGATTCGCTAATCCGAAATATTAGTTCATATACGATTTTGAATTCATGAAACTAAATTGAAAATTATATAATGTCATAGAAATTGTCTCGATTTAATTTAAATAAAGTTTCTTCTTGATATATTTTTTTTGCAGCAAAAGCATCATTTGAAACAAATATGAGGTATGTTGTAATTGAAAAGATTCTGCATTTCTATCATATGAGAATGGAGTGGAACAACTGAGATATGTACATAATGCCAATATTTACGCATTGCGCGACTCAAAGAGGTCTCTCTACAGGTTCTACGTTTAGAAAGTCTAAACAGGAAATAAGAACGGCAACAAAAGCGTTGTTCTTTTTTTTCTGTTTGCTGTGCATGTTCTAATTTTGTGTCATGGATGGACACCATATCCTTACTTTTCAATTATAGAAATGAATGACCAAATCCGTAATAGTAATAGTTTGGTGAAAAGGTAATGACAAATAGAACCCTTCTATATAGATATGAGCTTGCACATGACATGACATATTTAAAAAAATATTATTTGCTTTTACTATATATATATATAACTTTTCCGCCAATGATAATTAAAACAAAGGTGAAGTCAGTTGTTTATCATTACATCATAGACATTTACAAATAAAAAAGTAGCAAATGATCATTAGTGTTGTTGAGGAATGACAGTCTGCATAAAAATAAATTAAGTAAAATTTAGGAAATATTCGGCTTTGGAATACTGTATATTCAGAAATTATTGCGTGCATTTATTATAATAAATTTTAAAAAATGGACAGAAATTCGAGATTATTTATTTCGATATTAGAGAAATTGAATACAGAACAATGTATCATATATCAATATGCATGTTCTTATTATTGCGATACTCGCCAAGTCACATTATTCGCATTAATTAAATAGAAACTTCGCAATAATTTCTGAATTTACAGTAGTATTGCTATGAAATAATGACATACATATTAATTTTAATTTCAGTGGCACTGAAAATGAATATGCATTGGATACCCAAGGTACATATAAAACACAATGTTAAAATTGTTAAGTTTAATGACTTCATTAGCTTCTGCATACTTTATGATAAAGTATAATAAACATTGTGCTAAAAGCTTTTAAAAAGGTAATTTTATCTGAAATAAAGTATATCGGTAGAAAAGATAACGGCATGATTATTTAGAAATGTTTAGTTCATTCATTCATTCTAGAGATTAATAAATGTGGTTTGATTCACAAAGAGAAAAAACCGTTATAGGAGACCACATGTGTAGAAGTTAACAACATAAAGTTCACCATACGATCTTCAAATATAATTAATTGTTTGTCGGTTGTTTAACACCCAGTTTCAAATGTTTCATGCATGTTCAGGACAAAACCAAATCAACAGTATACACATATAAAAGGAAGGTCCTGTATAAGAGGGCAACTGGAATAAGCTGGAAAGGTTACTGAAAAATGAGGATATGTTAAATAGGGACAACAATTTAGCCTTGCAACAGGTCACTTATGGATGCGTCAAGGAATTGTTGAAAGGGATTTTAACGTGAAAAGAACATGACACTCTCTTTACTCGAATCCAGTCATCCTTGGGGTATAAACACCTTTAAATTGGTATATAAAATACAATATTATTGAAGACCGAAAATAAAAATAGCTTTAAATGTTAAAAAGATATAAACCATAAAGTGTATAGATATGTTTACTGTTTTAATGTTTAATTCCTAGGGAGTTCTGTTGAAAACCGTTTGTACCAGTCTGCTGAATTTTTAGACCCAAAAACCAGACGAGGTGATGCTGATGTTGATAACCAATTAGCGTCATCTTCGCATGATAATCAATTATACCAGATGCAGATGCAAACTTACAACGAAAATGATGGTAAAATATTTATTTTATCAATTTAAAATTTAAGAAGTAGATGATGTCATAAATTGCATACATGGGGGAATGCACTGCAATTCATTTCCGTACGAAGCAAGACATGATCCTTTATTTATGACACAAAATGTAAGTACTAGAAAAATGGGACAGATTTGCATTCTTCTCCAGAGCTAATTTTCTCATTTCTCAATGTGTCCCTAAATTTTAAACGACATTTTTCTGTTTGCTAGTTCTCACGAGTTGTGCCACATTCGAACATACTATTATACAATTTAAATTAATTACATACGATGTTCGTCGATTTTGACAGGTATATGAAGAGGTGTCCTTTTTAGTACTCAATTACCCAATTCGTAAATAGGTAAATTGAATTGCTTGTTGGTTTTGCTTCTTGATCAGAGGTATACATTTGTTTGACGTTTTCAGTTTTGCAATGTTATTTGTGTGTTACGTTAGTAATTTTTCATTAAAAACAAGATTGTTGCTTAGACACATTTTTATTCAATTGTATATTGCTTTTATTTTATTACAACATTTTACCGGGTACATAATCATGCAAAGCTGTACACGTCGGACATCACATTCTATTTATTAAACCGATATGTTTCTTTTATTTAGCAAACTGGGAAGTCGAATTAACGTGTTTATATTCATTTTAGTATGATTTAGTCGGATCGGTGATTGTGTCCTGAATATTTGTGTTTTATTAGTCAATTTAAAAATGTATCCGTATTAGACCGGATATAGACTTAAACTGGTCACGAGAACAACAATTAAAAAATAAACAGTATACCCGTAACATTTCACATTCACGACATTCAAACATATTAAAGTTGTGGTTGGTGAATCCCAAATATCTGTTTGGGTTGCTCGCCCAATTTTGTCAATATAACGGAACTATAGATAAATATCATTCAAGTATGAGGTTAAGTTAGCTATAACACCAGGTTTAATCCACTAATTTCTTCGGAAAATGCATGTAGCAAGTCAATAATATTGCAGTTGTTTTTCACTTGTCCCGATAAATTAATAGCGCTTAATTTTGTCCTCTTTTATGGACTTCTCTTCATTAAGATCGACTTGGAATTTGGTATTTTTGTTATACATTTTTAGCTATGGTTAATTATGACATTCAGCATCCGTTTACCTTCTTTATTTGTGATCGTCTTAAAAAAATCTCTGTCATGGAGCAATGTCAGAGTAGAAGAAAAATGGGGAATGCCCTTTCTAAAAAAGAAAACAGCAATAACAATTTGTAAAATAGAATATTTTTTTTTTATTGCGCATTATTTGTTTTTTAATCTTTAATAATTACAGGAAAGAATTTACAATGTACATTACTTCAAAGGGTTGAGGAATAAGCAGGAGAACATTTGCCAAAGGTAAAACAATATATTTTCAGAGTATATTGTAAGTTAAAAAAGACATTAATATATAACACTTAATTAGTAAACAGAATATCTTAAAAGCTTTGAAAATATAAGTTTTTTATCAACGTAGAATCAGACGATATGTTTTGCCAATGGACATTTCTATTGAATATAGCTAGTGACTCCTTTTTAATTATATGATTAGTCTGATTTTGCTATATCGATCATGTATTGATCATGTCTGTTTATACAATTCTCGTCCCCTATGTTTAAAAAAATAACACCATTTTTCATCAATATAACGGAACAATCATAGTCAAGTGTAAAACAAGTGGGAGTTGTAGCAAGCTGTAAAATCAGGATTAACCCACCATCTTCTTCGAAAAATAGTCTTTACCAAGTCAGGATTGTATGTTTTATTTTCCATTGGTTGACAAAGTCGAATGCTTGATTTTGCCAGTTTTTATAGACATTCCCTTTTTGAACTTACTTTGGTGGTCGGTGTTTTTTGATACTCCCAATTCATACTACTGCACAATTAAATGGATTAAATGTATCATAGACGTTCTTTAACTTTTATGTACAATATCGTACAATTATAAGATTCATGGAAGCAGTGTGTTTGTTGAAATTAGAAATTATTATTATTATTATTATTATTATACAGTATTTATAACAGCGCATTATATAATATCAAAAAATTACCCTAAGCGCTTTACAACATATTCACACACATATATAAGCATTAACAATAAAATATGAAAGCCCATGTTATGAGATCCTAAAACAAACATATTTAAAATAAATGGCATATAAAACTATACTATTAAATTTACTGATCAACAATAAAATTTATATAAATGGGCATGGTAAAATAAAGGAGACATTGAACCCGTACAAATAAAAATAAATTAAAAATATTTGCTTAAAAAATTCAAAAAATATTTGCTTAAAAATTAAAAAAAAAAAACAATATTTGCTTAAAAATTCAAAAATTACAGCGATATAAAATATTTTAAGAACTATGAAAAAGCATGTCTGAATAAATGAGTTTTCAGGTACATGAAAATTATCTCTGACTGGTCATATGTAGTGAACGCGAATGTTGTATTACCACGTGAAATGTCAATACATATACATAATCTTCGTATTTCCTCGTTTCTATAATGTGAAAAAAACACTATATGATTTGCGGTAACAACCACATATCTTTCAAGGAGATGAGACAGATGTTTGCAAACATTTTGGTCATATACAGAACACGCACGTTCAGAGACTCATAACGTACTATAGTTTGTATCAACGACCTCGAAGCCTTAATCCATTCGGAAAGAGTTTTTATGTATGCTGTTCTATTTTTTGCTCATTCCCTGGCATAATCCCCGTCTAAATTTACTACTTTTTTGATTCAATGTTAAGAATATTGGCTTATACGAATTCAATGCAAACAGATAAAGAACGAGAATAGACGTGTTTGTACAATATATTTACAACATTGTCGGTATGTTTTAAGTTTTGTTCTATTTATTAAGGCTTTAAATGCAGTGTGTACGAAAACGTTGATCAATAGATGTATGTTTAGGGAATCTGGCGCAATAAATCTTTACCCATTATATAATTGAATATGATTCGTGATTGCAGATAACTGAAGCAGACCTGAACTATGCAGAAATTGAATTTGAGGACCGACAATTGTCTTGATCAGTTATTATTCACGGAATTGATGATAAGACTATATATTCTGACATAGTTGTTGGGGCCCAATTGCCGAATCTTCTGTCTACCACTGACAGTTCAAGTGAAAGTGAAGACGTTTTTATTTATGTAGATGGAATCGAAAATTACACTGAAAGAAGGAAAATGAATGCATCTCAGCAATAATTGGTGTGTACATACCATGTAAATGAAACAATAAATTCCGATTGTGTTCTGCATTTTTCTGTATATAACTTAACACTGTACAAACAGACGTCATACTTTTGTACAACATTTACAACCAATGCATACATAACATCACTATGGAATACGAGGCATTCAACATTACTCGATAAAAGATTTTCTACACGAGAGAGCACAGAACGTCGTCCTCGAAAACGCAGATCCAATCATGTATCTGTCCAGTCGGGAGTTCCTCATGACAACGTCTTGAGTACAAAATTTTGTCCAAAACTATTGCTGCTATACATCTATGCCTTTCCGTATTACTCCGTCAACAAATCATCAGTTCGAATATTTGCCGATGATTGCGTCCTGTTCATACAAATAAAAAGTAACCGAGAAATGGACATATTCAAAGAATATATGAAGGCACTACGAGCATGGACGAATACCTTGCTAATGAAATTTCATCCCAATAAATGCGATGTCCTACATCGCATTACCAACATGACGTTAAACGAAAATATAACATGTATACCCATATATGCATGTCTGAAAGGCAGATGAATAGTAAAACATTTGGGAGCTAACATATTCAAAACAATAAACTGTAGCACCCATATAGAAATGATGAGAAAAGCCATAAACAGAAGAGCTTTCTTGTTATACCTACCAGTGCTTACGCAAGACAAAGGAGCTTTGCTATAAGATCCCTTTAAGACCACAGATAGAGTATTTCAGCATCACATTTAATCCATACGTTAATAACAATGTTTTTGACCTGAAAATCGTACAACATTGGGCGTCAATACCGTTATTGGCGACTATCATCGAACCATAAGTGTAACAAACCTTTTTCTTCAACGGCAATTGCTAACCCTACAAAAAAGTCGAACTATGACCAGGGTCATAATGCTGTTTGGCATTGTCAACCACCTGGTTGTAATAACAACAACCTTTATAGCTACTTAGTTTCAAAAGGAACAAAAGACGACACAATCAAAGATTCGTGGTTCCATTTACAAGAACGTAGTTATACCAGTTTTCGTCCTTCCCCGGCACTTTTCCATAATCAAACATCCTTTGATCGAATACCATTACTAGTTACTAAGCCTGAGTTTCAGAAGACAAAAATTTGTTAAGAACTCTGGCAGTGATTTTATTTCTACATACTGGATTAAACTGCACTATAAAACAGTTCGATAATCGAGGGTACAGTATGGAGGATTGACATTTAAATCATCAACATGGCAAAAAGGAGACAAAATTGATGATTTTTGTTTTCCAATTTTGACAAACGCATGACAGAAGGAAAATTTTGATAAAATAAAGCATGTTTTGATCAATTTCATATGTGACCATGGACTGTTTTTGCTCTTTGATCGGGTTGTTCATTTTCCGCTTCGATCGATTCTGATTTGAATGATAAAATTATAAAAGTTATAAGTTGGTTTATTTAAACATTGTATGCGTTCGTTTTACTATAGGTTTTGTTCATGTTGTCACCAATCATTTTTGTTGATGTGTACGTCAATTGTTTTAACATTTTAATGCAACAAACATTATTGTTTAATATTTTTTTATCGACGTATGGTCTATATATTTTCAGTAATATAAAACAATTGGACAATTATCTGTGTTTTCCTTTAATTTTATGAAAATTGAAAACGCTATTGTTCAGGTCACACAAAAAATAACGACGACGTGAAACAGCATTAACAGTTCCAATTGTACAGCACCAGATGCGCACAGATGCGCTTTTTGACAATTTACATCTCTTCAGTGATGCTCGACGCCAACATATTTTATTTGTAAAATTCAATACAAACGTTGAAGAGCTGATGATTTAAAAAAAGGTTAACAAGTAGGTTAAACTCGAACAAGTAATCAGAGCTATTCCAGAGGGAGGTACACTCCTTAATTTAAAATGATTTGGATATTTTATAACAGTAAATTGAAATAAACTATTTTTTTCGTATGTTCGTGCTAGTATCGATGTTGATATAATCTATAACTTATCTTTTTATTGCTTCAACACTTGTCTAGTCTTATTTGAAATTTAAGCTAGAAAATGGGGCCATGTTTTAAACGCCTTTATTTAATTTATACTGAAGGTTTGAACACTTGTGTGACTTTTAAGAAAATGCACTTCTATGTTAGAGTTTTTAATCCAACACCAAGGACAGTAAAATACAGGATGTGTCTATTTAAAGTATATAAGTGTACTTGTCAAAACAACTTTCAACTATAATTAGAGACAAAAAGCACGATACTTAAGTGATTATTGGACTATGTATTAGTTCATAAATGATCTTACTCTGTTTTAAAACTCTTTAATTCAAAAGGTAAGACTTTCATACTTTTTTCTAGATCTTTATACATATTCAAAAGGTTATCTGGATCCTGGACTTAATATTTAACGATAACACAGATAACTTAAAATAAATTAAAACACTGACAGCTCATAAGACAAGTTTTCTCATCTGGACAAATTGAAGTGCAATAACTCTCATTGTCTTTATACATAGATTAAAAATACTCTGTATATAGTTTGTACTGCCTTATATACTAGTCAACAAAAGAAACTATAAACAATTTTGAACTTAAATTCATAAAATATAATAAATATGAGAAACTGTTTAATTATCCAATGAAAAACATTCATTTACAAAGGAAATGCATATGATAAAAAGAATTTGACCAAATTGGAATGTTACAAAATATCGAGTTATCAAACACAGGTGTCAAATCTATTTTGAAAAAATGTTCGCAAAAGTCGGCAATTAATTTCAGAGATTAGAATTAAGAATTCAGAAATCTGCAAAGCATTCATATTTTTAGCAGAACATGTATAAGTTTAAAAAATTAAAATTGTAACATCGGTTTTTGAATTTTTGGGTGAAAATACGATTTTTGTATAAAAAAGAAAAAAAAAAAATTTCTCGCGTTTTTGCCTTAAATCAATGGTTTTGATGAGAAACATAAAAAATAAAACTCTGAAAAAATTAGACCAATAGGGCAATTATTAACCTCGGTACAGAGTATCCAATTTCATTATATATGGAAAATACAATGCCTTGTATCGTTTCTTTTGTTGACTAGTATATGTTTCTTTATATTTCTCTAAATATCACCTTATAATTCATTATGAGACATAAAGCTATCTCGTTATAAATTATGTGTCATGTGTTTAAATTTCGGATCAAATTGATATCCGTGTGTATTCAAATATCTATACAAGCAAAGAGTATTTAAGTCTCGAATGATAATTATGTTTAATAAAACATAACTACATGATTTCTAAACAAATACCCAAAGATCATCGTTTTAAACTTTTTTTCTTGCATTAAATCTAAAAATGGGTTCACAGACATCCGTGTACTCAAAAGTACAACATATGTGCTTTATGGATATTCAAATGAAACTCTTGGGGATCTATAATTCGAAATGCTTGATTTAATTTAAAATGAAATGCATGTATATGTATATGTTTATGTATAATTAGCTAAATTGTTTTCCTCTTATAGTTGATGTGTTTCCCTCGGTTTTAGTTTGTAATCCGGATTTATTTTCTGTCAATCGATTTCTGACTTTCAAACAGTGATGTACTACTGTTGTCTTTATTTAAGTGACTTTTATTTTTTGCTTAAAAGAGGAAACGATGCAAAGGGGCATTTAGAACCCTCAAGTCGAAGAAAAAAGACTCCACCATTGTCAAGAGAAAATCGATTAAATAAAAACACAAGTCCTCGAAAAAACCTACACAAAGAAACAATTGTCGATGACAAAACAAAAATCAAATGATTTTGACGAATCATGGTATATGTTGTTTTTAACTATAACCGTTACGGTAACTTTCAAATAATTAATGACTCTGACAAACCGCAATACAAGTTGAATCAATTTGACCCTTACGACAGTCGAAAATTACGGTCGACGACCGGTAAATAGATAGTCGACAACTGCATCGCGTGTGATACGATATTTATCCACTTGAGACAGTTAAATATTCAAAATTGAACTTTCGAGAGTGGTTGAATATCGTATTACACGAGATTTGATGGTGTAATTAGTTTCTCTAATGATTTATATGCAGTATGCAGACAAACTTGTTCCTTCTACTCGAATGATCTGAAGAAGTTTTTTTTTCTAAGTGACTTCATCAGGCATTGTCGCCTTTTTTCATAACTTAACGTAAGCAAGAAAATTTGACGTCATAATCCAATTTTGATCAATTAATAGCTGTCAGAGATCAAACGAACCACAAGTTTATGAAATAAAAACAATCAACTGGTTTGACCAAATGTTTCAAACTGAGTTGTTTTTTCGAACTAGTCCGAGTTGTCTGTAAAAATAGTCATAGTAAATTTGCCAAGTTGTTTTGGTCCGATTTAACTTCGGTCTGATTTGACTTCGGTTCTACAATTGTCCTTATTCCACCTCAAGTTGCCAAGATTCCCTTTTTACCGATAAATCTTTCAAATCGTGTTCTTCAACAATAGAAAAACATCATTGGAATAGTCTAGGTTTTGAACCGACGGTTTATATTTACACTTTGAAACCACTTTGAAACGATTCAATATTTAAAGGCTAGTACCTGTAACATCGCAAGTGTATGACATGTTCTGCAAATATCTATTTATAGACATTTATACATATAGATTAAGAAACACAGACAAAAGTTATATGTAGTAAAGCTTATTCTTATTAAATCTATACAATTTGTTGTCACAATTCGTTAAGAGGAAACATACCCTAGTTGCACGTCGAATTTAGAAATAATTCATGGCGGCTTTAATATATCGTGATTTTACCACAGGTTGGCCCTTTATGACAAATATTTTACCCTGATCGAAGCGCTCTCGGTGGAGGCAAATATTTGCCGTTCCCATAAATAAACGCACTATTAAATGTGCGTAAAAGAACGGAGCAAACTGAATTAGTGACATGCTTAAACTAATTACGATAACGTATTTAGATAGATTGGGATGAATTTAAATGATAATTTACTTATATGTATAAAAAAAATATGACAAGAGAAAGAAAAACTTAAGAACGCATACACGTTGAATAATTTTTGCACAAGGAGCTATTTTCTAAACATTGAAGTATTACATTCCTTAGTATTTTCCAATAGTTAAATAGTTAAAAAGTTGCCTAACGAACTAGATTTACGCATTTCAAATGATGGTAAGATGGTATACAAAATATAAGAAATAGTATTCATCTAAATAGAAATAGAGTAGTTATGGATAAAACTATGCAAAACTACCAGCAAAATCGAAAATGACGTACAAGATTTGGCTAAAGAAAACTCGAAAAGAAATAAGAGTCAATATCTATACATGTGTGTAAGTGTTTAACTTACCGATTCTTATTTTTGATAAGTCTCCCCTTTTTTAATATGGCGTTATGTCATTTAAAAAGTATTTCTTTTAGCATATACATTTGTTGTACTGTTACACCATTGTCCCAGGTTAGGGTGAGGGTTGGGATCCCACTAACATGTCTAACCCCGCCACATTCTGTATGTATGTGGCTGTCCCAAATCAGGAGCCTGTAATTCAGTGGTTGTCTTTTGTTGATGTGTTACATTTTTTTTTTCTTTCAAGTTTTGTACATCAATTAGGCCGTTAGTTTTCTAGTTGGAATTGTTTCACTTTTGTCATTTCGGGGTCTTTTATAGCTGATTATGTGGTATGGGCTTTGTTGAAGGCTGTACGGTGACCTATAGTTGTAAATTTCTGTGTCATTTGGTCTCTTTGGCAATCATACCACGTCTTCTTTTTATCATTTGATTTTTTCAGTAAGAAATGCCAAACAAAAACCGAATATTGAACTTTTAGAAATCAAATAATAATTCAATCATGAAGATTTGAAGTAAAAAAAAATGAGCAAATCAAGCATATGTCTATTATCTCACTTCTCTTAGCAAAAAACACAGTGTTGAATCGGACGTGGATAATTAACGGACTTTCTTTAATTTAGAAGACCATCAATTTCATTTTTAATGGTAGCAAAATTCATTCTTTGAATTTGTATTACATGCTCACAAAATGTGTCCAGCAAACCATTGTAAAGAAGGGGTGGGGTATCATTGGAAATTTACAACAAATGATATGCATTCATGTACAAGTGCATGCTAAAATTCCTTTTCAATAAAAGAAAATATCGATGAATAATCGTTTCACTCAAAACGGATATATGGATGATCTGCACAATTTAAACCACAAATATGTCTTATATAAAGAATGACGAATAAGTGATATCATAAGAAAATATTGAACGAAAAGAAAGTTGAAAAAAGTAAAATAACAAAAAACGAACGAATCCGGGTTAAAGTCAAAACGGATAACAACTGTCATATTCCTGACTTGGTTTACAGGTATTTTGTCATGTAGAGAATGGTGGATTGAACCTGGTTTTATATAATATAGCTAGCTAAACTTCTAACTTGTATGACAGTCGCATAACTGTAACTTTCAGCCAATGAAGTACACGAACTTGGACCAAGTTCTTCATATGACACAAACTATAGCTATTAATTTGAAAAAAGGAAGAACACGCCTGTGGATGGAGAGTACAATAGACGTTTAAAAAAGAAATTGCAAATTAATTTCTAGCATTTTAAATAAAACAACTGTGACTACTTTTATTCGATTTGGTCGTTGTTCTATTCCACATTCTAAACTAAACCGTGACCGTGACTGTGCCAACAACTATATTAATTCGAAGTCTGAGAAACGAAATAAGTCAACAGAATTGATATACAAAGAAAAATTAAGTTGCATGTATATGAGCAAATATGGCCGTATTTTCACCTCAAAAACTACTCTGTGTACAGACTTACCTTTGCAGTTTGGAAAGTTTTAAGGTCTGGCATCCACTAGATATATAAAAGTTAAATACATTTTGTGTTTCAGAAAGATAAAATCGTTTTTGGGATTTGATGGGCATTTTTTTTTCCTTCCTGCAGAAGGTGTAAAAATAATCAAACACCTGAATTGCATTTGATATTGTCCACTCAATTACTACCTTTAACTAACCTATAGATGTGACGATATCTATTGTCCATGCCAATCAAGGAAAATCAATACAATAGAAACCAGTTGTTACTTGAGAGGGAGCATCTCAAAGTTGTATCCCAACTTAGTTTATTTTTGCACCTTCTGCAAGAATGAAAAAAAAATGCCCATTAAAATCCAAAATTTTATCTTTCTGATATATGCAAAATACATTTAACTTTTATATAGCTAGTGGATGCCAGGCCTTAAAACTTTCCCAACTGCACAAGTAAGTCTGTACACAGAGTAGTTTTTTAGGTGAAAATACGGCCATATTTGTC